AATTAGCGTCTGAAACACTAATACTTACGTCTAATCATAGAAATCCTTATAAGCTCGCATAAGGGGCGGAAGTGGTGCAGTGACAAGTGGCGCGCTCACCACGCGAGCGGTCCGGGAATCAAATCCTGGGTCGTGAGTCGCCCGGGCCAACCAAGCCTTCCATCCCTCCGGGGTCGGTTAATTGGTACCAGACTTGTCTGGGAGGATAAAAACACTGACTTGTACATCGGCTGGCCCCCGCAAGTCATTGTATAGGCCACATCGCATTCAAACGCCACTACGAATGTACAAATGGAAGTAGAATGCGTGCCGCATCCCAAAAAGGGATTGATCAACGGCAAATGCTTTATCCTTTATCCTTTTATCCTGAGTCACTCTAGCTGTTGGGTCTTAGGACTAAGAGGTGGCACTTAACTCGTAAAAAGAATGATGGCATAATAAATATTTTTTGGGAGTTTCCAGTGAGGTTAGATAGTTGGATCACAACCCACCGTTTCAGTGTCCGGTGTCCGATCGCAGGGGGCTTTTCGGAAAATCCTTGGACTTCGTCGTGAAATTTGTCGTAGAATCGTTGGCAGAATCGCATCGCTACTTCGACGCTGCCTGAAAGCCTCACAATTTTGTCACATTAATGATTGAAAAGTTGCCGGTTAGTAGAAAGCTGCAAAGCATCGAAGAAAAGTTAGCAGAAAGGAGGAAAGGGATTGCAAAGCGGGGCGTCATGTGTGAGTATTAGCTAGCATGCACAGCTTCATAGCCTTGAATAGAGGTGAAAGGAAACGGACTGATGAAGCTACAGGTGACAGTTCGCAATACATGAAAATTGAGCGCACAGTCGCACCGGCGGCCGAATCCATATATGGCGATTTGGCGGTCAACGTCAGAAGTATGATTGCGGTCGGGCATAGCTTCGTTCACAGTGCGAGAACAGCTGATGCCAGGACTTTTTACCGACTTTCGCTACCTTCCAGAGAACAAAAGCAGTTAAACGATGGTGCCAATAGGTTCGGCCGCTGCGCAACCGCGCGCTCGCAATCCACTAGTTGCGGTTGTAGACTGCTCCAAAGCAGTCAGTGTGCATATAGCTGATTCAAGAACCATTCCGTGTGAATGAAGCCAGAAGGAAAGTATAGCCACAAACAGCCAACAGTTCAGTAACGTTGGAATCACTTACTCTGGTGAACTATCGGTCACAATTTGGGCATGTTTCGGTTTTTCTCGAAACGTGTGTGTCCTACAAAATTCTGAAATTTCCCTGGAAGGCTATTCGAGGAACGTATCGCGCGCTTGGAAACGACGTTGGTGACAAAGCAAGACTTTGTACTGAGTCGTCCCAATCGCGAAGTTCAACGATGGACACTTCCGGTTGATTGATTTGCAGAAACACCTTACCTGGATTTGACTCGTTTGCTTGGTTGGAATTCTCCTGACGATTTCTGCGACATTGTCATTGGTGAGTCATCTGCACCAGATGATTTTCTGAAAAAGCTTCCCTTTTCCCGATTTTTGTTTCAAAATGCGTTGATGCTTTCGAGAATGCGCTGTAATTTCACCGATTGGGGCCATGATTTTTTTTGTTACATTAACCAAGTGAATCATGGACTCCACTCAATTATCGTGGAGTGATGCTGATCCTATTAATGAACAGTAGAGGTGCATGGCTTATCCACGGAAGTTCACTAACAAGTCATTCCTTCGAGATATGCCATAGTTTTTTCCGGTTCACTTTATACAGGTGTCTTGAATTCTAGGAAATCAATATATCAATAGCCATCAAGCTCGCGTAGCTCTCCCAATGCTTTGGTCGCGCTTTTATTTTTGTAGCTAGATTTCTTATAATAAGGTTCTTAAAGCGCCATCAAAGCACATCAATGTAGCAAGCCCACCACTTTTCTAGGTTGGATATTTGGTATCGAAAACAGTTTGACGGTTCTAACACTGATATCGACCCCTATAAATTGGCGAGTAAAAATAGGATTGGGAGAACCACACCACTGTAAACTGCCTCGTACCGCTTGAAGAAGGAAGTCTTTGACTATCGGGTGCGTATGTGTACAACCGTATCAAAGGGTTCACTCGCTGTGATCGTACGATTTGTTATCAGTGGTAGTGAGCGATTGATTTTAGCTACGCACAACTATCTCGAATAAAAATTATTATTTCAATGAATTCCCGAGTATCCATATTATAAGACTAATCTCAATAATTCCCAAAACAATAGAAGTGCTTTGACTTCATAAGTGGTACACATGTGTACTAACAGCAGTCAAGGGGTTGAGCAGCACTTATGGTTCCCTATCTGGGAGCTCAGGCCATTTGGATAGAAACGACATTAGGATAGCGCTGCCGAAAGATGAGACGGTTAATAGGATTTTGGGGGCAGGGTTAGATTAGAGGGTCTTCACCGAATCGATCTAGTTGCTTATTAACCAGTCAGCACTCATCTCCAGGGGCCGTATGCTATCCTCCCCGAAGGGTTGGGGGACGAAAAGTCCTTTAAATTTTCTCTGTCTTCCCATCTGGGATTGCCCTGATAAAGGACCTACATTTAATGTATGTATGTAGGTAAAAGTAAACATGCACTGAAATCTTTGGATCGCTTAGCTTATGGGGGGAGCATAGGCATACAGCCCTAATCTTATACGATCTAGGTAGGGAGCGAAGTAATAGTTAGGTAGTGTTTAGATCGTTGGAGTCCAGGTTTAGATACCACTATACTCAACTTGCGAAATCGAACTGTTTCAACTTTCTAATTCGATACGCTATCTAATCTATTCAGTGCAATATCCGTGCTCTAGTCTACCCTTATATCCATCGGGCCTCAATGTCCTAATCCGAGTCGCAAACCTATGACGTGACTTCAGAATTGTACGTGGAGCGCTAAGGATAACAGCTTCGATGGACACGCTCGTTCGATGTAGCTTTCGAACTAGGCTAACTGTTGGCTACTCGCAGAAAGGTTTTACGGCAAAAGTTTTCGCAAATGTCAGTAGTCCACCCACTCAAGAGCCCTTCCCAAGTCTAGTGTTTCTCCAAATAAAAGTTTTGTGAATGCTATTAGGCAGGGTTCAGACCTCACGATCGTACATGCGATTAGAAGATTAGGCGATTAGTCTATAAGGAAAAGGGATACATATCGATCAGGTGATTAGACGAACGGGCTAGTAGGCGATTAGGCGAGTAGGCGATGAAGTGATCGCTCAATAGCGGAGCAACGAATCTCTTTATTTTTAAATCATCGCCTAATCGGCTAATGGCCTATGGTCGCATGTACAATCGCCAACAGTGAACGCTGCCTTGTCCATAGCGCTATCTTGCTCTTATCTTGATCCTTAGAACACTTGTCCATCATCGTTGTTAGAGACACTGAGTACAATGGAGCAACTCCGCAGCGTAGGAGAAGAAGCAAAGAATCAAACCTGGAATTGACGTATCCTTCTGAGACGAAGTCATTGGTGACGACGTGATCGTTGTCGGAAAGCGAGTCAACACTCGATCTCGGAGTGGCCGATGCTCCGCCAAACTCATTCTCTTCTGAAAAGTTTTTGTATCCTCTCCTGACAGACAGGTAGAGTCAGTGCAGGCATTGTTGTTAGCCTCGAATAGCTCAGTGCAGCTGTGTGCAGAGTTAGTTCAGGACATCTACTACATATTCATACTACTCGTACTACTCGTCTAGCATATCGCAACTAAACAGCAGGCATCCGTTCGGGTATCAGGTTCTGGCATGATTCTGACCGTGAGCTTCACTAAAGAAAGTCTTAAGGGAACCATACATAGTCCGAGATTTCCGTGTTATCTGCTTCTAGTTTTCACTGGAAGCCAAAAAGGAGCAAGTATCCGACCTCGTTCGCCATATGTTTTTTGTTTCAACTCTACTACAGCACTCAGACCGTCTCAACGAATGTAGAGAATACAGTACCCCCTGACTTATGAAGTGAACATGCTTATTTATAATGACCATTCAAAAAAGTCTCTTGAGATAGATTAAATCAATCCACTTCTAAGGAAGCCCAATAACCTGTTCACCTCGTGTTGCTCCCAACGAATTAGGTGATTATATATAGCCTAAAGACTCATATAAATTGAAGTGAACTAAGCTTGTCCACCGGGGAATAGGAGAGGTCCAAACCTGTGGAAGCTTCTTTCGACACTATTGAAAGTGATCTATCCCATGGAGCATAGTGAGACTGAATTGTTGCTTGTGATGCAACGGCCCATGCGACGGCTTGTCTACGTCTCTCTGGACCCTGTTGCTTTCCTGCCCACAATAGTCTCTCCCATTCGCATTCAGCGCCCAGTTTCTCGTTTATTACGCTTACGCTTTGCAGCCGACTTACTACGCGATCCATCATGGAAAGATCGCCTCATTTCGATAACTTCGTCGTCAATGCGCTTTTTCATTCAAATCGCGGTCACATCTGTCATCTCCTACCGTCATTTGCGAGATGCGATTGGCGTCATCAAAGTGCCGGACGTGAGTATCAAAGGGCAAAAGAACTGAGAAAAACAGCAGTGGAAACTTCTTCTAAATCACCGTCGGTTCCTTGCAACTCCTAATGTGTACCTACTTTGGTAGGAATTCGCAGTCTTTAAGACTACTCTACTGAACGAAAGCGGGGGGGGGGGTCATTTGCCTTTGCTTTTCCTTAAAAAGGCTAGTCTGGACATCCATCCTGTGACCACTTTCCCATCGGATTTATGGGCAATTTATAGCCTTAGTGCATTAAAACACTAGCCGAATCCAGCCCAACAGAAGAAACTAGAGTCCCTATTCATTTCTTTCAACAATTGAGGCTAATTTACGTGGGCTTCCAGAATAGCTCCCACGTCGTGCTCCAGGAATAATGAGCCCCTAGTTCTCATAATGGATTCCCGCAGCCTTGAGATTTACGACTACAATCTAAGAAGATTCATTACCAACTTCAGCAATAATTCTCAAAATTAATCGTCCGAAATTTCAAGACGGTTATGTGAAATCCCTCCACCCAACACAAAGAGGATTTGACGAAGGCACCACTCGACTCGGAATTGAGTACCGCTAAAGTTGGCCAACAAGCCTGACGAGTAAACAACCCGTGTAGTTATTCAAAAAGAGAAAACAATTCGTTGACGAGTCGCCGTTGACGAGTGATGAAGTGAGTCGGGCAGGCAGCGCAAAGATTAAAATTTATGTACTCGGCCAATGACCAGACCGATCAGAACCGTGCCGTCCGTACCCGTTCGGGTGCCCAAACTAGCACATTACAAGACATTTCATCAAATCTATAAACACTCAAGCACACCAACATGCAACAGAGACAGTGTCATGCGATTAGAAACAGTGAAAGGATTCCCAGACCGAGCGTTCGCGCCCATAGACGCGCCCAACAGGCTGCGATCAGGGCGCCAACGAGCGGCGGGCGTGTTGTGCATCCACAGACGAGCCGGCGAACAGGGAAAACACGTACGTAGAGAGAGGCTAGGTCGGGGAGCGAGCAACGAGAGCAGAAGAGCCGCGGCTGGTGGCGTGGCGCCTGCGCCACGCGTCACCGCCGACTCATCGTCGTCGTCACCTGCAGCTTCGAGCGCTTCACGATGTCGCTCGAATCGTCGCATGTGCTGCGTCATCGACGGCAGTGCCATCATCATCACGTTCATCACTGAAAGCACACACTTGCACCCTTACGTGGTGTTCCTTGACGCCAAAGACGTCAAGTCAGACGTCCAACTGGAGATTGAAACCATTGCGTTGGGTTGCAAGCATATTTATCAGTAGGCTACGTTGCGGCAAAGGGAACCTTGTGACGTACCCCGCGCTGGAAAGTTGCGCGGCACCAGGTTTAAAGGGTATCCGAATGTGTGGGAATCGGTAGAGACTCAGATACGTGGAAACAGCACCTGGTTTCACTCTCTACCATCTCATCCGCGCATGCTATCTCCACATGTCTGCGTCTCCAGAGTTCCCACGCAGACTGGTGGAGATAGCATGTGCGCCGATGAGAGTTGAGGGGGAAAATAGGTGTCC